CAAAAAAAAAAAAAAGAGAGAGAAAGAAGATACCAGTCATATTGGATCAGAAGGAATAAGCAGAAAGAGGACATTAGCTATTGTTGGACATATGCCAATTTCAAAGATGGTAAAATGTGGCAAGAGGCTAGGTGCAGTGTGTCACGCATTTTGAGACCACCCTGAGCAAGAACTAGACCTGTCTCTACTAAAAATAGAAAATTGAACTGGGCCTTATAGCAGGTGCTTATACATCTAGGTACTCAGGAGACTGAGGCAGGAAGATCATGTGAAGCCAGGAGTTTGAGGTTGTTATAAGCTAGCCTGGGCAACAGGGTGAAACTCTGTCTAAAATAAGAAAAAAGACGGCGGTGCCTGTGGCTCAGTGAGTAGGGTGCCAGCACCACATGCCAAGGGTGGCGGGTTCAAACCCGACCCTGGCCAAACTGCAACAACAAAATAATAGCCAGGCGTTGTGGCGGGCATCTGTAGTCCCAGCTATTTGGGAGGCTGAGACAAGAGAATGACCCAAGAGCTGGAGGTTGCTGTGAACTGTGACACTACAGCACTCTACTGAGGGCAACAAAGTGAAACTCTGTTTCAAAAAAAAAAAGAAAAAAGAAATACGGGGGAAAAAACATATATCACGGAATCAGTAAAATACAGTAATTTGGTTATAAATGAAAAAGTGCTTAGGGAAGTATAGGTGAATTCCTCAAGCAATTAAATTTTGGGCTTTGGAAGTAACTAGGGTTGGTTTTATTTTTTTAGAGACAAAGTCTCACTTTATCATCCTTGGTAGAGTGCTATGGTATCACAGCTCACAGCAACCTCAAACTTCCGGGCTTAGGCAATTCTCTTGCCTCAGCCTCCCGATTAGCTGGGACTATAGGCACCTGCCACAACGCCCAGCTATTTTTTTATTGCACTTTGGCCAGGTTTGGGTTTGAACCCACCACCCTCAGTGTATGGGGCCAGTACCCTACTCACTGAGCCACAGGTGCCACCCCTTGGGTTGGTATTAATATTGTTAAATTTAATTTGAAACAAAATGGGGTTTTGCTAATATTCCTAAGGAAAACAGAAAGTTCTGTGAATATGATCCACTTCCGAGCATTCTCCTTCTAAGCATCTCATTTCTTCCCATTCACATTCCCTTTCTTGGTCCCGCAATTGTGCAAGAGTGATGGCAGAGCCATACGTAGCAAAATAAAGAGCAGGGTGGCACCTGTGGCTCAGTGAGTAGGGTGCACCCCATATACCAAGGGTGGCAGGTTAGAGCCTGGCCCTGGCCACACTGCAACAAAAAATAGCAGGGCATTGTGATGGGCACTCTTATTCCCAGCTACTCGGGAGGCTTAGGCAAGAGAATCACCTAAGCCCAAGACCTGGACGTTACTGTGAGCTGTGACGCCACGGCATTCTACCAAGAGTGACCCAGTGAGACTCTGCCTCTAAAAAAATAATAAAGAGCAGACAGAACTAGACAGAGGCTTGGTGAAGGATCAGCTAATCATGGTGCCACTCGGTCCCTTTGTTTTGCAGAGAAAATTGCTCCAGTGTGATGGCTCTTACCCCTGCTTTCCATACTGGTTCTTTTTTTTTTTCTTTTTACCCCCTCCATACTGGTTCTTAAAATGTCAGTTTGTGGCTCGGCGCCTGTGGCTCAAGCGGCTAAGACACCAGCCACATACACCTAAGGTGGCAGGTTCGAATCCAGCCTGG